GCACTCTAAAAAATGCTGGGTTAAAAATAGCCCAGCGCTGGGTTAAAAAGGGACAAACCCAGCTATTGGGTTGTTTTGACCCAGCGGTTGGGTTGTTTTGAACCCAACCGCTCAATAGCTGGGTTTGTTCCTTTTTAACCCAGCGCTGGGTTATTTTTAACCCAGCATTTTTTAGAGTGCATAATTGCAAGAAAGTCAGAATTCTGAGTTTTTTTTCTCAGAATTGGCAGAAAAAAGTCACAATTTCTTTTTAGTTTCCATAGTTAGCTTAAGAAAATGCTGTGCAATATGTGAAATTGGTAGCAATTTCCAAATGCACTAAAGCCCAAAGTACACTTAAGTGATGACGCGAACACTTGGCATATGTTTACAGCCGAACATGTTGCCTTTCAAAGTATATTTCATTTGATAGCGTGCGCAAACTCGATACATGCGGACTAAAAATTAACTAAAAACTAGACATGTTGTCCCCGTGTGGACAAATTAATTAGTGTGAATGTGCATGTGTGAGCTAAATGAATGTGATTACAAAAATTGGGCTCCACGCGTACTAAGTATATTTGGACTAAGAGTAACCCCCAGATATATATTTCTGTAAGTTTGGTCGCAGCGCAAAACGAATGTGCCATGCGAGTCATGAGATTTTATGGTATTGAGTGACTGTGTCGCTACTTTCTATGTCAACAAATGTGATATCGCAAATCTTGCGCTAATGTGTCTTTTTTTGTATCTTTAACTCCAAGCTGTGCCTGAGATGTACTGATCACGTTGAGTACTTGTACAAGAGCTTGTTCATGTTTTTTGTTCGAAAACAACTCAAAGGCTGTTAAATGTAAAATAGCCGGTTAACCGATACAAAGGTGCCCGATTTTTCTCTTAACTCGTCATAGTGCTTTTTAAAGTATGAGTTATCACAGCGCCATTTTTAATGTCGACATCCATTTTAGTGCCGTGGTAATATGCTGCATCCTGTAATAATATCATATAAATAAAAGTTAAAGGTTAAAGGTGATTTTCAACAACTGTGCCTGTGGCAGCTCCATGTTTTCGTGGTGTTATTGTATTTAATTAACGAATGAATGAGAAATTGTTAATCTGTTTGTTTTTCTTCCAAGTTGGTCTGGAAACCTGAAAAGCATGCCATAAAAACCCAAAGGGCAATGCATTGGGCAGCTAGTACTCTACGTGTAGCTAATACAGCTAGCACAGTGTCCGGTTTCTTCTCCTGTGTTTGACACATTTCCTTTTGAAACAAGACGTTTGGACGGGACACACTCATCTCTTTTAAAAGAACCAGGCTTTAGGTAGGCTATGTAAGTCATTTATTATGGTATTTGCTAATGCTAGTCGGTTGTGGAATTGAGGGAGGGACACAGTCACTGTAGAGAGCATTTGATTGGATACAAATCTGTGTAGTACAAGATGAGTCATCAATATTTTTGGTTCGTTTGCAGTTAGGAGAAAGACGTTTTAAATCTGCCAACATTTATGAGTACACTAGCATGTAGATATCGCCACAAAACTCTTAAAGAAACGATAATCCACATTTTGTGGACTGTGCTAAAGCGTTCGTCTCAGGCAAAGAAGGCATAGTAAGTTAAAATAGTAATAAAAAGGCTTTAACTGGTTTCACTGTGCCTTGCTTAAATCTCACTATGGATTAGCAACGGCGGGACTTTTTTGTAGTCTGTTTTTCATTTAGTAAACCCGTCCTCCAGCTGTTTTCTTTTCCCTCTTGAACATCGGCAAAATCTTGGCCTGTATCATCATCCATTGCTTGTCTTTTCCTCTGCGACTCAACACAGAGAAACAACAACAACAACACACACACACACACATACA